AAAAAAATATCTTTGCATCAACTGTTGAATGTTGGATGTATTAAAAAATTCCTTTTCTATATATTTATTTTTTAAATATAACTTATGCATTAATATTGCAGCCTATTTAAAAAAAAAAATAGTTTGCAAAACTACCAACAGTAACTCGAGAAGGGAAACACAGGACAGATAGCAAACATAAGTTTATCAATGACGATAATGTTACAGTAGAACAACGACATTATCCTGACTGATACGTGTCTTTGTCCGAACCCGGTATTAGATATATTAGATAAAATAGGGAAAAGTGGCAAGTATTTCTATAAGTTAACGTTTTTACAATTTAAAGTTTAAGTTCGTTACATAGGTTTGTCTATTTATATACTTCGCTTGGGTCGGCATATTTATCCATATAATTGAATAGAAACCTAGTGAGATTATACTAAATATAAATACCTGAATATAAGTACAATAGTATTAAGATAATATTTAATCTATCGATACCGATAGAAATGGGGCGCTTTATGTTGTTGCTGTGTTTTTAAATATAGTAGGGTTAGGGTTATTAAATCATTAAAACTTGTTATTTAATCGTTGATTCTATATCTACTTTAACTTCGAATTCCTAACAGACACCGGAACTATTTTGTTACTGATAGTAAAGCCTTGTCACTGCTGGTAACATTTATAAACACTAGAAACTAAGGAAATGAAGCAACATGAGCCCGGTACGATACTTAATATCCTTGTACATTTTTACCGATTTTATTTTGAAATAGAACTAGAAACGAGAATTTTTGTTAATTTATAGTAAGCTACTTTAAATTTGAAATGATAGTTATCACCCCGTAAGGATCAGCTCCGTTATCGAACAGTAACCTCACTTGGTCAGATGTGCCAAAGCGTACTACATCAAACAATACATGGAATTGCAACAAAATATCATAGGAAAATCATATTTGTTTTCTTTGAAATGTGATTTTTGAAAATAACATTTTCAATGCAAAAAAGTCCCTGTTCACATGCCATCTAACAACAGAGACCCGACTAACTGGACACCTGTACATGTTATAGTGCAGCTATAGCAGCGAACTAAAAACAAAAAACAAATTGTTTTGGTTTTCAGATCTTCCCCATCACTCCCGACTATCGTTTCTTAGGAAGTGCGACATTTTAGTTTGTCCTTGCTTGGTAACGAGTATGGGTCTCGCTGGGTATAAACAGCGCTTTAACCGTCAAAGCGGTTATTTTTTGTTTTTTAACCGACACTTTGTATCAGATCAGGTGAATGCAATTGAAAATGAATACATCAAAGATAGCATTTAATTAAGAAAAGTGGTAATAGTAGTACAATACGACCAATTAAAACATCTAATGCACAATCATTTCCCCTCCCCAAACAAAACGGCTCTGAAAACAGCAAACTTACGACGAACGCTGATGCCTACCGGCACTACTGCGTGGTGGAAAATCAACTACAGTGTCCAAACATTGAAACCGGTTTAGTTTAGGACTCACATAACTAAATCAGCCAATCAGCAAGTGTTTCATACGATTGTAATCCCTATCTAAAATTTGTTCCGGGTTAATACAGTGCCTCCTGGGAATTTAAACAGGTAATTGTTGACAATTGTACATAGAATGAATCTACAGATATTGAACTTTAGAGAAACGTAATAGTTTTAAAAGAATTTAAAATGTAATGGCGGATTTATATAGGGTCAAATGTCGGGGGGTGTTCCCCTCCCTATTCACCGGTTTGGCTTGTAAACTTCCGGTTGTCAAAAGCAGACGCCTGTAGCGCTCTTATATGCCACCAAACTCACAAAAAATGCCTTTATGTATAGTTAACAATTAACCGTTTTTCAGATAACAATCTGTGACAGACACCTTATATCCGCGTATCTGAATTGAGGTGTATGATCGAATATTGCATATCGTTAAAAACAATGTTTCAGTTATGATTGTACATATTGCAATGACTGCCAATCCGGTTTTTCTGCTTTCCCTGTATTCTTAGTCCATTCCAAATGTCCAAATGTGACGATTTCGAAACGAGGCGGTTTATTTAGAAATAAAAGCAGTGACAAAGGGCACAAAAAGATGATGGTGCATTTCCTATTGCACTTTGAAATAACTTTGAAAGGAAAACAGTTCTGTCTTAGTTGCAACTGATGAAACACCTTAGAAGTAATTATTCATCACCAGAAGTTAGTTTTACACCAGCCGATATTCAAATAAATAAATCTTTGCTGGGATCTCAGTATATTATAAGGGACCAGTTCATATGAACTACCGGGAAGATCGAGACAAATGAACACGAGGCTACCCGCACTTTTTAACTTATACGACCACGGGAAAAAAAATCTTTCATGAAAATATTCACGGCATTGAATACTTCTCCAAATAATTTCACAAGTGCAGGCATGCATTGACAACGTTAAAAAATAAAATAGAGAAATCAACAAAGACTGTTTGATTAATCAGTGAAACAAGTGACCTCTGATGCTTCCTTTGGCCACTTGATTCATGACCATGCAGTATTTGTAAATGTATATTTGCTCTCCGTTTTCACCTTTTTTATAAGCATCCTATACTTCAATCATCACACACAATACAGGTTCCTTTCTGAGTAATGAAATACAAGTAACGGTGGATTGTATCAGACGTTGAACGTGTCTTGCATCATATGTTTCGTTGATTATTTGCATGAGGATGTAAGCATATTTGTATATTTCTACTACAAGTTCCTTTATAAGCATGACTAAGAGAAAGTACGTTGATAGAGCTATGAATGCAATTCAAACAGCGTCATTTTGAAGCTCCTCTTCTCGTCTCGATTAACCTGTTATGTAGTAAAATAATAGCAAAACCGTATATATATTTTTTTGACCAAAATTTGAGAGATTGCCACGGTATATAGTTTCGGGACAGCCGGGGTATTTTTTTCAATGTTTAAGCCTGTATAAGATTGAAAACAAATGCCGTTTAATACAGATTGAACCAGTCACAACCCCCTATTAAATATTGGGTCGTCCCTTATCTGTGGAATTTGTATGAATAACAGTATTTCCATAGTCTGAGTTTAGTCCTATTGTCGGAAACAAAAGACATAGGCTCACTGTCTGTTTGTGTGGACGACATTTCATTATCAATTTTGTAAACACATTTACACTCTCCCACCACCATCAGAAATTAAATTCCCCTTTGTGATATATTTGCAAAACGAATATGTAATCACCTATTGTGACGTCAGGAATTATATTAAGGCAGTATGCACGACTGCATTGTGTTTGTCATTTTAAGACAAACATATGAAATTGGAATAACGTTAAATACAATCGCGATCGTGACACCATTATCTAACTAGCCTGATCTGCGTTTTCATCTCATTCTATCAATCGATTACACGTAACAAGATATTTGTTTTAGGATTGACCTTTGTCTCTTCTTTTCTATTATTGGTGTGGTTGCGTCATGTAAATTGTACATGTATCTGGTGGTAAATTTGATCAAAACTTCTTACTTCTTTGATTGCCATCTCAAAGTTATGTTGCCATTTGAAATATTTATTTGGATACAATGTTTCACGTAATGACATTATGCATTAAGGGGCAAGTATATATGTAAATAGAGACAGGTTTGTCTTGGGAAATAGCGATAACAACCAGGAATCGTCAAATAGTGTATAGCAGATTAGCGGCTATCTTGGTTTTCCAATCAATCAAAGTCGATTTAAACGATTCTATAGTTGATGATGATGGGCTAAAAACATATAAAAATATCTTTGCATCAACTGTGGAATGTTGGATTTATCAAAAATTACTCNATGGGCTAAAAACATATAAAAAAAATATCTTTGCATCAACTGTGGAATGTTGGATTTATCAAAAATTACTCTTGCTATTTTTTTCTTTTTCAAATATGATTTATGCGTTAATATTGCATCCTGTTTAAAAAACGAAAATCAAATCAGCAATACTTTTAGTAGCTCGTTACCTTTCTGATTGATAATATTCTGAGAGTGTAAAACAGCAATTAAATTTACTATGTTCACCACGTCTAAAAGCTGAATTAAACAGTGATCAAATGTATCATGTCTTACCTCGTTAGGATCTGCACCTTGCTCTAAAAGTCTTCTTACGTTGTCTGCATTACCATCACGTATCATACTTCTCAGTTCCAAGATCGCCTGATTAATAAAACAACTTTATGTTTTAGCACGTGACAAACGTATAGAGATACGTGCGAACATCTACAATAACATAAGATTTTGTAAACATTATCGTGTTCACTTGTGCATATCTATCAATCTATTGCTCTGTAATGGTTAATAGATAAAAAGCATGCAATTCATCAGATCAAACAAAACACTGATATATGTTGCAAAATGTTTTTGCACTAGATAAATTGTACTTTCCCAATTTGTATCTGAAGATTGTTTTGTGATCATATTATTGTCGATCGCATCATTTTCATACTTTTATGATTCTATGATTTTTTGAAAAAAATCAAAACAAAACATCGAAGTGTTAACAAAACCATAATTCGAACGCAACATCGATAACACCAAAGCAAATATGAACATAGGAAAGATTGACGCGGAGACCAGTGAAAGCCTCGACTTCAAAAATGGAAAAGACATAGGCAAATAATGTTCTAGGCTATGGTTACGTAATCGCCTGGAAGAGCAACTTTAAGTCAGTTTGTTTCGTATTTAGATTTTAAGCGTTTTATGTAAATGAATTGAGAAAGCACGAAAATATCTCCAATACGTTTTTCGTTCAATGAAGGTAAAGCAGTTTTATTTTATCTCATCATTCAAGTTTGCGATGAAAAAGATTGTTCCTTTTGTGCTTGCTCTTTTGAATATGAAACAGTTTTCCATTATTTTCATGAATGTCCATTGTATAATGATTCCAGACTTACTTTATTTACTTCTGTTGATAATTATGGAAATCATAACTATATTGATACAGTAACTTTCTGTTTGTTAGTCCATCACAATCAGGACAGCATTGTAGAAAAATGTTTGTATCAGAGCGCATGATTAATTAAATATGAATCACTACCTCCGCATGGGATCGAACCCGGGACCTCTGGCTTACTAGTCTAACGCTCAACCGATCGAGCTAAAGAGAAGTTCTCTATAGCCCAGCGATATATTGCGGCTAGTATTTACCAGGGTTACATACTCCCCCTTCCAGGAAAGAACTCGTCCTCGAGTTTTTCCAGGGGTAACAGCGATGCTTGTGGAGCAAGGCCGAGTATTTTTCCCGGGTCCCTACGTGGGCGCCAATGTAACAGAGCGCATGATTAATTAAATATGAATCACTACCTCCGCATGGGATCGAATCCGGGACCTCTGGCTTACTAGTCTAACGCTCAACCGATCGAGCTAAAGAGAAGTTCTCTATAGCCGAGCGATATATTGCGGCTAGTATTTACCAGGGTTACATTGATACAAACATTTTTCTACAATGCTGTCCTGATTGTGATGGACTAACAAACAGACAGTTACTTAATGATGTAAAGTTGTTTATTTGTAAATCCAGGCGTTTTAATCTCTATATGAACTAACCAGCCATTATGCTTTTATACTTTCATACTTTTCTATTCCTATTTCAGTTATACTCCACAAAGAAGTAAAATTTCTGGAAAAGATCCTTTTTCTACTTTTCTATAAATGGTATACTTCTTCGGTCATAGGAGTTTTCAGTTGAGCATTTTTGCTTGTTGTAAGATTTGTTCAATCTGTCTTGTTTTTAAAGTTTCCATCTATATATAGACTGTCTATCTGTTTGCATATAAAATTACAATAACTTAACAGTTTTGGCAATTGTGACCTGTGCATATATTGCACATGTACTTTTGGTCAATGTCTGCCAATAACTCTGTGATTTGATAGCTATATAGCTTATATACAATGTTATAAAAAAAAAATAATAGCTGTGGAAATGTTTTGTGTGTGAATGTATTTGCATTTCAGTTATGTTAATTCAGGATGAGTTACTTCCCTTTAATTTTTGTGTTTATAATTTTCATTTCAAAATTGATGTATTAATTAAATCAAATCCAAAATAACAGAATCCATTACTTTAGCCACTGTTTGAGAGAATTTATATAGGCTTTGTCTGTTATTCCATCTAATTGACATGCAACAACTTTGTCAATAATATTTGTTGAAATGAAATTAAATAACTTCCAGAGTGTCAGAAACTGTTTACGAACTCATACTGTAGCAGGTTCATCAAATGAGTCTCGCATGAGGAAACATATAGTGGATGAGACAGAATGTATATATACACATCATCTGGTTTTGTATCTTTCGAGTCTTCCGGCTTTGAACGAGTTGGAAATTTCTGCGTTTGAAATATGATGTATTGTCAAGTCAATACTGTTTTGTAAATAATTGCTATAAAATTATATGATTTTAAAAGAAATATTGATTTTTCATGAATAATAAAGCACAATTACAATGGCGTAATTATTTACTAGTATTGTCATTAATTTAATAGTACAAAAGAGGTTTAAGGAGTTCGATATTTTTACAATTACTACTTTACTAAATAATAATATCGAGTGATGCTTGGTTTCAATGTTTATCTCATTTGAGGTATTATTTTCAAATTCTAAAAGACACACGCTTTACCCAGAACATTAAATTCGAAAATACTCACTAGTATTAGATAAACATGCTAAATAACAATTACGTGTATAATGACCCTTTTTCTCCCATAACGTTTATAATTTATCTGGAAGACTGCAAGTTTCCCTTTGAAATACACTATACACTTTTCTGATTAGGTACAATTACCATAAATTTAGACGTCATATGATAGATTGTAATGTGTCGCCATAATAAGGAGATTGACAAATAAAATCACATCCATTGTGTCACCAATTCTTTGAAGACATACATGTTTACCAACTCCTAGGAAGTCTATCCAATGAGTTTCGAATGCGAAAACCTTTAGTGGCTGTGGAAGAAATTTGTATAAATACACATTACTTCGTTTCATATATCGATACCGTAAATATGGTTTCTGTTTTGGCAAATCACTTACTTCTGGCCAATGCTTGTCCTTATATCCTGGAAATGCTTTGGAGTGAATCGGTTTTACACGGGCTGGACTTATCTGTCATTCAAATAAGATAAGATGTATTTTCAAGTCAATACAAATATACAATTTTATTGCTATATCTTGTAATGATTTTTAAACAAACCAGTTGTCATGAATAGCTTAATAAAACTACAACTTTGCAATCTTCTGTTGATTATATTTGTCGAAGCAATTCTTAACAGAGATTTCAAGAAAAAATATTTTTTAACAATATCTTCTACATTACTTTTCATACCAAAAACGTGTCTTTAAACTTCAAATCACTGGACAATGTATCTGAGACGATGGCACTAGGGATAGTTGAAGGGCTTATGGTTCTCTGTTGTGGTACTTTTTTCACATCCAACCGCAATCCCTTAAGTGAATAAAGAAAACATTACAATAACAACGGAATACATAAACAATTAATGCATTTTTCAATTCTAGTCAACTCAAATGTATCTCCTCGGACCGTATAAATTCTTGTAGAAACGAGCAACTTGATCGGGATTTTAACGATCGGAAGCTGTTTACAAATATACGTGGGAATCGTTTTGACTGACCACGCTTCAGGTATAAATTTGTAAGTTGATGATATGTACTTTTCAACATATCAATGAATGTTATAAATACCTGTCGTCCATTTTTATTTCCGTTCTGAAAAGTATTTTTGTTCGATTCTCGGCACTTGCTAGCTGCTGAAATCATTAGCAGGATATTGGAACTCTCTAATGCGTGTGGTAGAATATTAAGTTGTATAGCGCAAGAACGTCGTTAGTGACAACAACCTCGGTGTATAAATAGCCGTGTAGGCGACAAATTCGAGACATTATCCACTGCTTTAATTTCGTATCATACGGATCCAGCAATCTGATCACAATGGCAGATATGGACGCAGCCAAAAAAAGGTACGGATATCCATTTTCAGTTCTGGTGGTATATATGGAGCCAGCAGTCTCAGAAGGTTAATGGAACCAGATCTGGTTATCATTAGGTACCATTTTATTTTGTTAAAGAGCACCTTGTTCTCTTGTGCATATCTATCAATCGATTGCTCTGTAATGGTTAATAGATAAAAAGCATGCAATTAATCAGATCAAACAAAACACTGATATATGTTGCAAAGTGTTTTCGTACTAGATACTTTCCCAATTTGTATTTGTAGATATTTTTGTGATCATATTTTTGTTNTCTGATTCTGTTGTACAATAGCTCTGAGTGGTATATCATAGCTCTCAGTGTGGTTTATTATAGCTCTGAGTGTGATCAATTATAGCTGAAGGATGGTTTGTTATATATGTT